TTTATTTCTCCTTCACTTATAAAGCTTAGTTTGGCTAGATATGAAATTCTGGATTGGCAATTATTTTCTTCAAGCATACTGAATATTGGCTACAACTGTCTTCTGGTTTCCACTGAGAATACTGTTGATAGTATTCTCTCTGACTGCCCTTAACATGTTTTCCCTTCATTTTGACCTTGGGGAATGTGACGATTATGAATCTTGTGGTAGATCTTCTCATGGAGTATCTTAATGGGTTTCTCCGGATTTCCTAAATTTGAATGTTGGCCTGTCTTGCTCAGTTAGAGATATTCTCCTGGAAGACACCTTGAACTGTGTTTTCCAACTTGTTTCCATTCTCCCTCTCTCTTTCAGGTACTTCAGTGAGTTGTAGGTTTGGTCTTTTTACAAAGTCCCATACTTCTCAGAGGTTGTTTTCATTGCTTTTCATTCTTTTTTCTCAAATCTTGTCTGCCTGCTTTATTTCAGCAAGACAGTCTTCAAGCTCTGATATTCTCTCTTCTGCTTGGTTGATTCAGCTATTGATACTTGTGTTTGTATCACAGAGTTCTCATGCTATGTTCTTCAGCTCCATCAGGTCATTTACGTTCCCCTATAAATTGGTTATACTAGTTATCAGCTCCTGTGATCTTTTATCATGGTTCTTAGTTTCTTTGCATTGGGTTAGAACATAACCCTTTAGTTCAGCAAAGTTTATTATTACTCACTTTCTGAAGCCTACTTCTGTCAGTATATCCATCTCAGCTTCATCCCTATTCTGTGCCCTTGCTGGAGAAGTGTTTGGAAAAGAGGCATTCTGGCTTTTGAAATTTTCAGCATTTTTGCATTGGTTTTTGTGAATGTTGTTTTTATTGTTGCTTTCTTTTTGTTTTTCTTCTTCTAACAGTCAGGCTCCTTCTCTACAGGTCTGCTGCAGTTTGCTGGGGTTCCAATTCATATCCTGTTTGCCTGGGTATCACCAGTGGAGGCTGCAGAAAACCAAAGTTTGTTACCTGCTTCTTCCTCTGGAAGTTTCATCCCAGAGGGGCATTGACCTGATGCCAGCCCAAACTCTCCTGTATGAGGTGTCTGGTGACCCCTGTTGGGAGCGCTCACCCAGTCAGGAGGCAAGGGATCAGGGACCCACTCAAGGAAGCAGTCTGTACGTCTTTTAGCAGAGCTGTTGTGCTGTGCTGGGAGAATCCCCCTCCTCTGAATTGGTCTGTAGACAGGAAAGATTAAGTCCATTGAACCTGACACCTTGGCTGCTCCTCCCCAAGGTGCTCTGTCCCTGGCAGGTGACAGTTCTTTCTGTAAGAGCCTAGCTAGAGTTGATAGAATTCATGTGGGAGGCCCTGCCCAATAAGTAAGGATGAATCTGGATCCCACCTAAAGAACCAGTCTGGCCTTGATCTGCCACAGCTGCTGTGCTGGACTGTGGGGAGTACCACCCTGTCCAAATGTACCAGTCTCCCTAGCACTGGCTGGGGAGAACTGCCTACTAGAGTCACAGTAATGGCAGTCACCCTTCCCACTAGGAACTCAGCAGTCTTAGGCAGACTCCAGGCTGCTGTGATGGCCAGCAGGATTTCAAGCCAGTGGGTCTTAACTTGTGGAGTTATGTGAGAATGGGACCCGCTGAGTGAGGCCGTTTGCTTCCCTGGCTTCAGCTTCTTTTCCACAGGAGTGGACAGTTCTCCTGCTTATATTTCTTTTAATGTTTTCAGAGTGAGGTTGATCATCTGTAAAGTGATTATCAACCATTTCTATTATATCATATTTATTTACTCTATTGCTTATCATTAATTGTCTTATATTTTAAAAAATATCTTAACATTTCTAAGCCTAGTAGACAGTCCTGAAGAAACTTAGTCCTGAAAAAGCAAGCTAGATAAATAAGAAGGAAATCATCCAATCTTACTCCATATCACATACTTGTCATATGTGATAAAGACATTAATGGGGGTTAGGGGATACCACTGAACAAAGTACCTCACACAACCCTAATGGTGAAGGAATGCTCTGTGAAGGGAATGGCATATAATGGAGATCCCAAAGGACAGTTAATAGAGTAATGAGGTGAGTGAAGGGTGGGACAGCATTTCAAGTTGAGAGGGTTGCAAGGGCAAAGAGGTGAAGGGATAGGAATCTGATGTGGATACAGCTTATCAGGATTAGTGTGTGGTAACACCAATCAGAGAGAAAATGCAGAGAGCTGGTGAAGTAAGATCTTGAGAGTACTGTGTTATGCAATGGAGCTAGCGCTGACTCTAGGGGCAGTGGGAACAAGATAAGAGGTTTCTGTTGTTAGATCAGTGGGCTCACTCCGGCTAACAGAAGAGCGAGACTTGAAGCACAGTGCGTGTCTCAAGCAGTCCAGATGGGAAGATAATATTAGACTGATATTTATAGTTGAAAGTATGTAGTCTGGAGTAGCAGATGACAACCAGGTTTGTGGTTGAATCTACTTGGTAGATGAACATTTACGACATTGAAGACACACACAAAGAAAGAAGAAAATCATGCGATACATTTTTTACACTTACTTTTCAATGTTAAGACTGTAAGTGGGGAAGAAGCGTGAGTGAAGTAATAAATATAAAAGCAAGCAAGCTATAATGGGTTCCGTTTGGGGCATGTGAATTTGATGAACATGGGAGTGCTTCATATAAAAATATGCAACAGACCATGAGCTACTGAGTTCTGAACCTGAAGAGATAAATTGGAATTGGGAGTTAAAAAAAAAGAAAAAGAAAAAGTCATCAATACATATAGATACTAATGGTAGCCATAAAGAAAATGGCATGGCTCCCTGAGAGTGCCACTTCATACCAGGAGTCTCAGACTCAAATTCCTCCTGGGCTCTGACATTTTGTAAAGTGATGTATGGAAAAGGAGACAGATCATATAACTCCAAAATTGTGAAAGTTTAACTGACATCCAGTGGAAGATAATACAGCAAAGAGGATTAGAAGCAGAGCCTATAAATCTACATATCTATTAGAGAGAAAAATTTGAATTTTGAAAGGTTAAAGTGATAACCAACAGGAATGCAGAATTTTCATACAATTGACTGAGAGACGAACAGTTGTAGTTTTCACTGCTTATGCATCCTGGGTGTAACAGTTTACCTAGATATTTAGTAGCAACTTTCCACCCTAAAACAGAGCCAGGCATTTTTTCCCCATCCCAACTTGGTTTTTATTATTACCCTCTGAGACAAAAGAGAGAGAAATATCACACATTACACCTTGCACATATTTTGCCCGTTCCTCTGTCTATTTAGAATAAGGCTAAACAGACAGTTTCACAAACTTTCTACAGTATCTCTTGCCTGCCACTTTTAGTCACACTCATAATAAAATACTGAAAGTATGATAAAGAGGGACTTGCTAATTTCAATAGAAGCTCCTTCAACAGAAGCTTGAAGGCAGCAGAGATTTAGGGATAGAACTAGTCCTGCAAATATTAACATCTCAAGTTCTGTTTTACTGTCCAACCTGACATACACCTGAACAGTAAGAATACCTAAAAGGCATTAATAGATTAATTAGAAGACCATTTAGGTTACTGAGCTGCCATGGAAATTTTTTACTAAATCTGTTAATGAAATTGCCTAATTAAAAACAAAACAATAATTAAAACAGACTTAATATCTCTACAGAACATTTCTCCCAAAAATCACTGTCAGGGTTAAGTTACTATTATCAGTGCAGATCATAGCCAATAAATAATAAGAATTTAGAATTATTTATCATCTTCATACCTGTATGAGAAGGACAAAAATTGAAGCAGAATACAATTTCTGAACATGAAAATAAAACTGTATCAATTAGAGCTTCATTTTTATTTCTCACTTTGTAGGTTACTTAATGATATAATGGTTTTACCATTTATATTGCGCCTTGGATCATATGAGTTTGTGAAGTTAAAAGTCAAAAATTCCATGTAAGAGACTATATTAGATTTAACACAGAAGATTATTGAAAGTAGTGTAGTTTGTATGCAAGCAGTAAAATTTTTATTTTAATGACTGTGTAGTGATAACATTTTTGTAGCAAGGATTTCAAAATTGAAATTGACAGGATTTAAAATAATACAGTGTGACTTTCTTTCTTCCTAGCTGGTTATCCGTAATTTCTTTATCTTGCCTAATTTCTCTAGCCAGGACTTACAACACTCTGTTGAATAGGAGTAGTGAGAGAGAGAGAGCATCCTTGTCCTGTTCCAGTTTTCAGGGAAATGCTTCCAGCTTTTGCTCATTCAGTTGGATCCTGGCTGTGGGTTTGTCATAGATGGCTCTTACTATGTTGAAGTATGTTTCTTTATGGCCTAGTATATTGAGAGTTTTTAACATAAAGGGATGTAAAATTTTATCAAAAGCTTTTCCTGCATCTACTGAGATAATATTTTTTTAAGTTTTGTTTATGTGATGAATGACATTTATTAATTTGCAAATGTTGAGCCAACCTTATGTCCCAGGGATGAAGTCCACTTGATCATGGTGTATTACCTTTTGAAAGTGCTGCTGGATTCGATTTTATAATATTTTGTTTATAATTTTTTATTATATGTTCATCAAGAACATTATGTTGTGTCTCTGCCAGGTTTTGGAATCAGGATAATTTTGGCAACATAGAATGAGTTAGGGAGGGGTCCTTCCTCCTCAATTTTTTGTAATACTTTTAGTAGGATTGCTACCAGCTCTTTTTATACATCTGGAAGAATTCAGCTGTGGTCCTCCTTTATCAGGGATGGCTGTTCTCTTCAACCAAACATACAGCTTCAGTAGGGACTTATATGGAATGGTGAAGGAGAAAGGAAACACCCATCTAGCCAGATCAGCTGAATCAACGGTGATCAGTGGGGTCAACTGGTAATCAGTGGGGTGATGTCACACCCAGATTTCATGAGAAAGAGACCAAAAACAATTGCAACGAAAGCAAAAATTGACAAATGGGATCTAATTAAAGAGCTTCTGCACAGCAGAAGAAACTATCAGCAGAATAAACAGACAACCTACAGAATGGAAGAAAATTTTTTCAAACTATGCATCTGACAAAGGTCTAATATTCAGATCCATAAAGAGCCTTAAAAAATCTACAAACAGCCCCACCAAAAAATAGGCGAAATACATGAACAATTTTCAAAAGAAGACAAGAAGACATACATGTGACCAACAAACATATGAAAAAAAAGCTCAATATCACTGATCATTAGAAAAAATGCCAATCAAAAATACAATGAGAAACCATCTTACTGTAGCTATAATTAAAAGTCAAAAAATGATAGGTGCTGGTGAGGTTGTGAAGAAAAATAATGCTAATATGTTGCTGGTGGGAGTACAAATTACTTCACTCATTGTGGAAAGCAGTGTGTCAATTCCTCAAAAACCTAAAACCAGAACCACTATTTGATCTAGCAATCCCATAATTGGGTATATACCCAAAGGAATATAAATTGTAATATCATAAAGACACATGTATGCACATGTCCATTGCAGTACTAGACACAATAGCAAAGACATTGAATCAACTAAATGCCCATAAATAGTAGTCTGGATAAAGAAAATGTGGTACATATACACCATGGAATACTGTGCAGCTACAAACAAAAATGAGATCATGTTCTCTGCAGCAACATAGATGGAGCTGGAGGCCATTATCCTTGGCAAACACAACTAACAGAAAACCAAATACCACATGTTCTCATTTCATAAATGAGAGCTAAATGATGAGAACACATTGACATAGACAGGGGAACAGACACTGAGGCCTACTTGAAGGTGCAGGATGGTAGGATGGTGAGAATCAGGAAAAATAGCTAATGGATTTTAGGCTTAATATCTAGATGACAAAATAATATGTTTAACAAAACCCCATGACATGAGTTTACCTACATAACAGTCTGTACCTAAAATAAAAGGTAAAAATAAATAAAGCAAGATTGATAATGGAGAAGATAGCTTATTTACAATACAATTAGAAAAATTTGAACTAATAGATTTAATCTAGAAAATTTTCATTATGATGCCTATTCAAGTTGTAATTTAAAAAAATTCCATTGATATATAAAAAGTGATAACCTGCATATTCACTCAATCCAAAATATTATCTACCATAATTAAAATATTATCTGCCATAATTATAATGATTACAGCATAATTCTGGTATAACTATGGTATACCTAAATTTATTTAGGTATTTTATTTATTTATTTAAGTATACCTCTATATATTTAGGTATACCATAATTATACCTAAATTATGCTGTATTAATTTTTCTTACATTATTGGAAATTTACATTAAATGCTGGTGATTCAAACTTTTAACAACTATTTTTGGGCATAACTATTCAAATGTCTTTTTAAATGTAATTTACCTCTGTATCTTAGATGCAATTAGGTTGTATTTGGGAAAACAAAATCTCAAAAGCTTCAATTAGGGTGATTTAGCTCAGGTTCTTGTTTTTGTGAATTCTTTTAACACAATTGTTTCCCAGAAAATGATATTCTATTTACTTTCCATATATCTCAGATGAATGTTGAAGTTATATGTACAACTTCAAGGGACTCCTTAGAACACAATGAATAAAACAATGGAAGCACAATTCCAGAAAGACCCACTTAGTATGTGAAATAATCATCTACATTTCTGATTCACTCTCCAACGTGTACTGAGGAACAGGACTAAAGTCAGCAACACTGAAACCAAAAAAACAACCCATATATATCCAAATACTAAGTAGATATAAAATATCTCAAATTTATTAATAACCATCAAAACGTACAATAAAACTAAAATTATATGCCAATACACACCCACTATAATGTCGTTAAGTGGAAAAGACTAGCCAAGGGTTGGCAAGGTTTTGGACATGTGGTACTCTCACATACTGACTTGGGCAAATAAATTGGTACAACTAGATTTAGATTGTTTCTAAATATTTACTAATACTAATCATATATCTACTCCATGACCCACAATTTCACTCCTATGAATATACTAACATAAAAGTGTTTGCATGTGTATACATATATATTTTTTTTTCCTAAATGAAATATGCAAAGTCATTCATAGGAGCAGTATTCAGAATAATGCCTCATTGGAAACTACTCTTCAGAAAACATACCTAAAATTGTGACATATTCACTGCATTAGTCAGCTCAGGCTGCTATAACAAATATCATGGACTGGATGGCTTAAACAACACTTATTTATTTCCCACAGTCCTCAAGACTTTGAGGTCCACGATGCTGTCAGATTTGATTCCTGATGAGGGTGCACTTCCTCATCAGGAAGAAGGCTGGAGAAGATGGCTGTCTTCTCATTGAGCCCTCATGTGGCAGAAGAAGAGAAAGCTGCAGCCTCTCTCTCACTTTCTAGAAGGAGCCTACTCCCATCATGGAAGCCCCACTCTCATGATGTCATCTAAAGCTAATTATCTTCCAAAGATCCCACTTTTAAATATCAATACATTGAGCGCTAGGGCTTCTACATATAAATTTTGGGGAGAAGCAAACATTCACTCAATAACATTCAGGGAGTGAAAATATATTTAGCAATCATAATGAATAAATTCTATCTATATGTAACATCATGGATAAATTTCACAATTATAATATTGCACAAGAGGCTGTACTCAAAAATGTATGTAGTGTATAATTAAAGTTTTATAAAGTTCAAAAACAGGAAAGGAAAATTGGTTGTGTTAGAAGTCAGGATTGTGGGCATCCCTGGGTAGGACAGTCACCAGAAAGAGGTACAAAGCAGGCCACTCAGATGCGGGCAATATTCTGTTTCTTTTTTATAATGTTATTTATTTATTTTTAATTATACTTTAAGTTCTGGGGTACATGTGCAGATCCTGCAGAATTGTTACATAGGTATACACATGCCATGATCATTTGCTGCCTCCATCACCCTATCACCTACATTAGGTATTTCTCCCAGTGTTATCCCTTCCCCAATCTGCCCATTCCCTGCTATCCCTTCCCTAGCCCCCCACAGTCCAACAGACCCCAGTGTGTGATGTTCTCCTCCCTGTGTCCATGTGTTCTCATTGTTCAACACCCACATATGAGTGAGAACATGTGGTGTTTGGTTTTCTGCTCTTTTGTCAGTTTGCTGAGACTGACAGTTTCTAGTTTCACCCATGTCCCTGCAAAGAACATGAACTCATCTATTTTTATGGCTGCATAGTATTCCATGGTGTCTATATGCCACATTTTCTTTATCCAGTTAATCATTGATAGATACTTGTGTTGCTTCCAGGTCTTTGCTATCGTAAACAGTGCCATAATGAACATATGTGTGCATGAGTCTTTATAACAGAATGATTTACGGCTAGTGCTCGACTTACGACCACAATTGGGACCAGCAGACCGGTCGTAACACAATTTGGTCGTAAATTGAGTAGGCTATATGTACAGTTGAAATGGTGCACGAGGAGTTGGTAGTGCTGCCGGAAGCTGGTCTGCACTGTCGTACGCCCAGCTGGGCAACGTTTGCGCTGCCAGACGCGGAGCAGTCGTGGCTAGCAATTGCGGTCGTAAAGTCGAATGGTTGTAAGTTGCATAGGTCGTAAGTTGAACAATACTTGTATAATCCTTTGGATATATACCCAGTAATGGGATTGCTGGGTCAAATGGTATTTCTATTTCTAGATCCTTGAGGCATCACCACACTGTCTTCCACAATGGTTGAACTAATTTACACTCCCACCAACAGTGTAAAACTGTTCCTATTTCTTCACATCCTCTCCAGCAACTGTTGTCTCCAGATGTTTTAATGATCGCCATTCTAAATGGCGTGAGATGCTATCTCAATGTGGTTTTGATTTGCATTTCTCTGATGACCAGTGATGATGAGCATTTTTTCATATGTTTGTTGGCCTCATAAATGTTTTCTTTTGAGAAGTGTCTGTTCACATCCGTCACCCACTTTTCAATGGGGTTGTTTGTTTTTTTCTTGTCAATTTGTTTTAATAATTTGTAGATTCTGGATATTAACCCTTTGTCAGATGGGTACACTGCAAAAATTTTTTCCCATTCTCTTGGTTGCCAGTTCACTCTGATACTTGTTTCTTTTGCTGTACAAAAGCTCTTAAGTTTAATTAGACCCCATTTGTCTACTTTGGCTTGAGTTGCCATTGCTTTTGGTGTTTTAGTCATGAAGTCCTTGCCTATGCCTATGACCTGAATGGTATTGCCTAGGTTTTCTTCTAGGGTTTTTATGGTTTTAGGCCTTATATTTAAATCTTTAATCCATCTGGAGTTAATTTTTGTATAAAGGGTAAAGAAGGGATCCAGTTTCAGCTCTCTGCACATGGCTGGCCAGTTTTCCCAGCACTGTTTATTAAACAGAAAATCCTTTCTCCATTGCTTGTTTCTGTCAGGTTTGTCAAAGATCAGATGGTTGTGGATATGTGGTGTTACTTCCGAGGCCTCTATTCTGTTCCACTGTTCTAAATATGTTTTGATACCAGTACCATGCTGTTTTGTTTACTGTAGCCTTGTAGTATAGTTTGAAGTCTGGTAGCCTGATGCCTCCATCTTTGTTCTTTTTGCTTAGGATTATCTTGGCTATGTGTGCTCTTTTTCTGTTCCATATAAAGTTTAAGGTGGTTTTTGTTCCAGTTCTGTGAAGAAGATCAATGGTAGCTTCATGGGGATAGCATTGAGTCTATAAATTAATTTGGGCAGTATGGCTAATTTAACGATATTGATTCTTCCTATCCATCAAAATGGAATGTTTTTCCATCTGTTTGTGTCCTCTCTTATTTCCTTGAGCAGTGGTTTGTAGTTCTCTTTGATGAGGTCCTTCACATCATTTGGTAGCTGTATTCCTAGGTATTTTATTGTCTTTGTGGCAATTGTGAATGGGAAAGGCCTGGGACAAAATTCAACAGTGCTTTATGCTAAAAACTCTCAATAAACTAGGTATCAGGCTGGGCGTGGTGGCTCACACCTGTAATCCCAGCACTTTGGGAGGCTGAGGCGAGTGGATCACGAGGCCAAGAGATTGAGACCATCCTGATCAACATGGTGAAACCCCATCTCTACTAAAAACACAAAAAATTATCTGGGCATGGTGGCACATGCCTTTAATCCCAGCTACTCAGGAGGCTGAGGCAGGAGAATTGCCTGAACCCAGGAGGCAGAGGTTGCGGTGAGCCGAGACCGTGCCATTGCACTCCAGCCTGGGTAACAAGAACGAAACTACGTCTCAAAAAAAAAAAAAAAAAATAGGTTTCAATGCAAGGTATCTCAAAATAATAAAAGCTATTTACAACAAACGTACAGCCAGTATCATACTGAATGGACAAAAACTGGAAGCATTCCCTTTGAAAACTGGCACTAGACAAGGGTGACCTCTCTCACCATTCCTATTTAACATAGTATTGGAAGTTTTAGCTAGAGCAATCAGGCAAGAAAAAGAAATAAAGCGTATTCATTTAGGAAAAGAGGAAGTCAAACTGTCTCTATTTGCAGATGACACAACTACATCTTTAGAAGACCCCATCGTCTCAGCCCAAAATTTCCTCAAGATGATAAGCAACTTTAACAAAGTCTCAGGATACAAAATTAATGTGTAAAAATCGTAAGCATTCCTATACGCCAATAACAGACAAACAGAGAGCCAAATCATGAGTGAATATTCTGTTTCTTAGTCTGTGTGCTGATTATATGGGTGAGTTCAGTTTTTGAAAATCCATCATACTGTGTATTTGTGATTCATGTATTTGCCTATACCTTATAAATAGTTCAAATTTGCATGTGGTGGGGAAAGAAGCAAACGTCATAATTTTTTCGTCCAACAGAAACCTTACTCAAATTCTTAAAATTTATTTGCCTTGAACCAATTCTTCATTCTGAAAATTTTCTCCAGACTTCTGGAATGGCATTCTTTACTGGTTTTCCTCTCACCTCCCTTATTACTTGAATATCTTTTGTCGGGTCCTCTTCCTTTACCTAAGCATCACCTTGACTGCCATGTAATATATCACATCTCTATGAATTTAAGAAACATCTTTATGCTGATGATTCTCAAATTATATCCCTAAACAAATACGAGTACTGCATTCCATATTTATGTATCCAGCAGTTTATTCTATTTACTTGGATGTCCTAAGAGCAATTAAAATGCAATGTATCTAAAATGAAATTTCTGATTCTTCTATCTAAATGTATTCATCTATTTCCTAACTTGCCAACCACTTTTTCCCTTTTCAGTAAATGGTTCTGTCATCTACTCACTTTCTCAAGTCAGATATTATTTTCATATATTGATGAGATAATATCCTTAAACCATAAATTGGATCATGTCTCTCTACTGTATAAACTCATTCAATATTTTTTTTTATATTTTTGTGTTTTTCTAAACATCCATTTCTCTCACTACACCATGAGCTCTATGATATAGAGAGAATATTTATTTTGTTGGCTAATTGCATGTCTATTGTGTAACATGTAACCTGAGAATAGGAAATCAATATCCAAATACCTTAAAATAAAAACAAAGACAATGTCAACTATACTCCCTCAAAGCACATAACAAAGATGATTTAAGTAATAATTTAAGTGCAAATATCTCCAAAATGAAAAGTTACGACCAAGACATAACAGGATTGAACTTAAAGAGAACATCAGATATTTTCTCCCATTCTTACTCTACTATTCACAATGTTAAGTAGGCAGATACATTTTGGGAGAAATCAATATAAAACATTGTTGTGGAAGATCCCACAACCAGTAAATTCACCAAAAAGAAAATGCAAGTGATCAATGAACACAGGAAAAATTTCAGTTTTTCTAGCAATATAAGAAAAGCAAATTGAAACAAAATGTGCAGGTATTTATATTATTGTCTCTGTATTGTGAAGAAATGAATGCAACCTCATTCTAGCGTAAAATTATCAAAAGCTGCTGGAGGGAAAGCTGATCATATGGCTGAAAAAGTTAGCAAAGTCAAAACAGCACAGTGTGATTTGTCTCAAAATAGATCATTTTCAGAAACATATTTTTTCACCAAATCTGCTATATAAATGACATTTTATTCTAAAATCTTTCCTTAATTTTCAATAATTGTATTTGCTTATTTCTTTTTCTGAAAGTACTGTGTCTCCTTCCTTTCTTTGCTTCTCATGCTCTTTACCTTGCACGACTGTTATTTTTGTGCTGGTATTTTATCTTCTCTAAGAGTGGCATGCCCCTTGATGTCAACACTGATTTCTAATGTATATTTTACCTCCACATTTAAGAATGTATACTATATAAAGGATACTATAAGCATTTATGTTACTATATTTTATTTAATTTTTGTTTATAAAATATGTGTAACATAGTTATTTTTGTGCCCATTCGCAAATGAAGAAATGGAAGTTCAATTAATTAAAGTATTTTGTCAAAAATCAAGTAGTTGACTAACTGCAGGAAAATCCAAAACCTAGACCCAGATTCTTTCTTAGTGCATTCAGGCTGCTATAGCAAAAATCCCACAAACTGACTGGGTTATAAACAACAGAAATTTATTTCTCACAGTTTTGGAGGCTGCAAAGTCCAATATAAAGTTGTCAGCAGATTCGGTATGTGGTGAAGGCCTGCTTTCTGGTTCAAAAAGACCCCTTTCTCAGTGTAAATTCACATGGCAGAAGGGGGAAGGGAGTTCTCTTGGGCCTCTTTTATAAGGGCACTAATCCCATTCATGAGAGTTTTGCCTTTATGGTCTAGCCACTTCCCAAATGTCTCATATCCAAATAACATCACACTAAGCATGAAGACTTAACATAGAAATTTCAGGGAGATACACATGTTTGGTCTGTAACAGTCTGTTTGATATTCACTATGCTGTATTGCTACTTATGACAACCTCTCATCTCGGGCATTGCACATATATACACACAGAAGATGACTGTCAGATGAATGCTTACTAGAAACAAACCTGAAGAGTTCTGATTACCAATCCAAAAATAAATAAATAAATAAAAGGATATGTATTGATTACTACTATATGTAAGGTTATTTTACTTTTTTTTTTTTAAAAAAGAGAATGAATATGTGTTTAATTCAAGTTTTTTCATTAAATGTTTTAAGAATAAAAATGATACTTCTGTAACATAATTTTAAGAATGAAGAAAGAAGAACTAGGAAAAAGGAAGGAAGGAAAGAGGAGAGAAGAAGGGAAGGAGGGAAGGAGGGAGGGAGGGAGGGAGGGAAGAAAGGAAGAAGGGAAAGAAGGAAGGAGGGAAGGAAGGAAGGAAGGAGGGAGAGAGGGAAGGAAGGAGGGAGGGAGGGAAGGAAGGAAGGAAGAGGCAGAGGGAGGGAGGGAGGGGACAGAGAAAGGGGGAGAAGGAGGAGGAGAAGAATGAGAAAAAGAAGAGGAAGAGGAGGAGGAGAAAAAGGAGATGCAGAAGGGAGGGAGAAGAAAGCAAAAAAAAGACAAAAAGGAAAAGAAAAAAATGAGAAGGAGGAAGGAAAGAAGAAGGGAGATGGGATGGGAGAGGAGGAGGAGGAGAAATAGAAGGAGAAGGAGATCTCTGAGCATTTCCAAAAGGTTGTCATGTTCA